CTATGGAAGCAAATATCCTTTGTGACCTTTAAGAGAATATTTTTCAACAGACCTAATTACAATAACAAGAAACCTGAAATGACTTGCTTCCATCTATTACTAAAAACACAGTACAACCTCTGATGTTTGCAGCCAGCCCTGATAATATATAGGTATTCTGTAAATTAAGTTGAAGTATAAGGCAAGTTTTTAAGAGCTCACCTGTATTTTATGTGGTAATATACTGCCAACGTCATACTGTGGGAAGGAAAAAAATATATGTAATAACCAAGTTTATTGGTGAAATTGAAGACAAATTTGCAAGGGAAACTTCCCATAGACTTGTCTTCCAGTTTCAGAACAGTATCATATGGGCACTTGCCCCTGTTTCATTAAACTTGCTTATAGTAGACAGATGTCAAATGTTATGCAATGTGACATCAGGACATCTTCTTTTTAACTATCCATTATTACGTTTTTCTCTGTCATTTGTGTTTCTACCCATGTAACCTCTTTCCCTGGACAAATTCTACATATCTGCCCATATACTTAAAACTAAACCACATAATATAGTTTTAAAACTTTGAAGCCCGTGCATTTATTTCAGTTGACTTATTCATTATTCACCTGCCCATAATTTTCATTATTTCTCTGAAAGTAAATTATAAAAGTGCTGTATAGCAAAATGAAAATCATTCCTCCAGTGCAAGAAAAAATTTTGTAGTAAATACAAGTGGCCACCAAAGTGATAATACTTCTTTTATGCTGAAAAATCAGTGATAGTAATGCAGCCTACATCTGTACAGTAAAATATTCATGGGAAATATTTCCAAATTAGTTTAAATAAAGTATTAATATGCAGACACAACCCTTCAGATAATATGTTACTGTATCGGTAAATTAAGCATAGGTGCTGTTTATTAGGGTACAAAGGGATTCCCTTGAGTGAGTTATATGCTTTGATTTGCTCTCATTGTTTAAAAGGAAGCTTAACATCATCAAGGGAAGACAAACTGAATTTTAAAAGAAGTCCAGAATGTGTTTAAAATTTAAAGTCTCACATCATATGCATCAGGGATGCACATTTTTATAGTATTTCAAACAGGTTATCTCCAAATTGAGTTTAATCACAGACTGACCATCATACATTGAAAAGGTTCACCAAAACTTATTAGAAATTTTATCTAACAACCAACTGTTACAGATAAGGGAGCCAAAGTTTGTCCAAAATCCCACCAAATAGTCAGAAGCAATTCTTTTCCTATATAGTATTCTCTGGATCAGTAGTTCCCAAACTTTCCTGCACACTGGAATCTCCCAAGGAGCTTTACAATGATCCTTAATTCCAACTTGAGACATTATGATTCAGTGGCACAGGGAAGAGTTTGGTACAAAGAGTGTTTGAGAAGTTCCCCCAGGTGATTCCACTATGCAACCATGTTTGTGAATGACTTAACAGTTCAATGTCACAATCATTGGGCATGCATTATGTACATTATGACAGGTAAACTTCATCCTTGATTTCCTAAAGTGCTGTGAGGACCCACGAATCAAAGCGAAAATGAAAGTGGGGAAAATGCATCTGTTTCCAGACATATATTTTGATAAAGTTACATAAGTGATTCTAACAAAGTTTATACATTTTATTAAGAACAATTGGGGTAGAGCTAAGTGGCACAATGACTGCCTGGCAAGCACAACATCCTGAGCTTGATTCCCAGTACAAAAAGAAAAAAAGAAAGAAGAATGCACTATTACCCTATGATAAACATCTCAAAGCCTTTAGAGATGCCTAATGGGCCAATGCACTCTAAAAACAAAACCTGAAAACCAAAGGGACATTAGCAATGTTCTATAAACCACCTCAATTCAGAATAGAAATTTTGAACCTGAATTTTGATGTTGGTATTTTAATAAGCTTGAAAGATTCCTATCAGGGTGTTTTCCTCCTGCATCTATGATTATGACCCCATAGGTATGGAAAGGGTACTGTAGGTAAGGAAAGAATAAAATAGGGGACTCCTTAGGTTTTCTGGCTAATCCTAAATAGAAGGAGTTAAAACTCTCCTGGAAAAATTTCCCTTGGCAATAATGTGAAGGAAAAGGGTAGTGAAAAAACAAAACAAAAAGGCACCAAATGGCTTAGGGGCTTGCACCCAAAACAGAGAAAGAGCTGACAAGCAGAGTACAAAGAAAGTCTTGTGCACAAAACCAAGGTAACCTTCCTTTTGTACTTCCAATAGAATTCAGGGAAGCAGACTGGGAAGGAGGAGTGACTAACTCTGGGGGAAAACTTGTGTGTGTTCACACCTATGCACTAGCACACACACATACACATATGTGTTCACTCTAGGGTCAGCATGTTGTCCACTCTAGGAGCACTATATCACTACAATAGACACACACACACACACACACACACACACACACACACACACATCTTGTTACTAACTCAAATGTAACGATGAATGAGGCACCTCTTAGTCAACCAGCTGTCCACCTTGGAGAAAAGGCCCTCTCAAGGAGAAATAGAAGTTACACAAAGCCCTCCAAAGCAATGACATAGGCAAGTGGACCTGGTCCAATACAAATAAATCCCTCGGAACCAAGAGGACTATGGTAAGATCTAGGCAGTGCATAGGGTCCTTGGTACACAGTAAAGGTATCCAGGAACAAAGGCCTATGGATCTTCCATCTTGTGCGGGCTCCCTGCCCTAACTCTTGTCAGGGTGGCTATTTTCTCCCTTTCCATTGAAACATGCTTTCAAAACTTTGTATCTTTAATTTGTTTTGGTATTGAGTTTATAATCCAGGTGAGCCGCTCACCCCAGTGCAGTGGTGCTCACACAGCACATGAGGTGACACTGCACATGTATTATGGCAAACATTCAAATGCTGGTAACTGGAGTGTCAACGGAGGAAAAGCGATTCTTTTTTCCAAGGGTCATTTCTAAATTGTTAAAAACTGTAACTCATAGAGAACTATCTTTTCTAGAAATATCCAAATAGAAAGCACTTGTTCTCTTTACATTTAACGGTGTCTTGCATCATACATGTATACTCTAAAGAGGCACACTTTTCATGGGATTCTTTAGTTGCTAACTCGTGTTCCCTTCTACCACGAGTAGATTAAAATAAAACTGGGAAATTCACAGTTAGGCCTTTAAAATCAATATAGATGTTTTGCTCCAATATTTGAAAGTGGTCAAGGAAGAGAATAATCATATGGCTGAATTTACCCTACATGGCTGTAATGTTTTAGCAGTAGGGGACCTGTCACTCAGGCCTCTGCAGCATCCCTGTACTCACCATTGTACTATGTTTCTATGATTAGGCTTGCTGAGTGTGCTTTCATCCATCCATATTGAGGAACAGGAGCTGTACTTCCTCATAAGCTGACAGTAGAAGAAATTGTCACAGTAAGTTAGACTCACAAATGTTGGGGCTGTTTCCTTGATTAAAATGTCAAGCGACAAACCATGAAGGTATTTCTTACAGTGCATGAAAGGTCTGAGAGCAGTGTCATGCATACGGGTCTGCAAATGTTACTGCAGGAGGCTGTTTATTTTCAGGGGTGTTGGAGGAGTAGGTTGTAAAATATAGCCCTTATTATGCTACCTATTTTCAAATCTGACAAGCATTTAGTATACATCATTTTATAAATATTATAAAAAGTTTAAAATAAGATTTTGGACTTTTAGCAAGAAAAACAGCTAAGATTTTCTATTTCTACTGTTAGTAACTAGAATAAAATGTAATGCCTTGCATAATATTGACACAGTATTAACAGTATAGTACAACAAGCAAAAGCTTAACACTTAATTGATTAACAGACACTAAGTGTGTTAATCTGATGAGACAAATACTTCACAGTCAAAGCACTGTGCCAGGGATGCTCAGTCACTAACAAGCCAGGGCCATAGGTCACCTGGGCCTGTACCCTTACCAAGGATATACAAGTACTATTTGAAGATTCCCTCACATCTAAAATACAGGACAAGAACAACTTTGAGAACTGAACATTCAGTTATTTTCTGGGTGGATTTCCATTACATCACTTTGTGGAAAGCCTCAGACACTCAAGATTACATGTAATTCTCTAAAGCTATCTGACACTTATCAGGACACATTGCTGCCTCATTCATGCTGTTTGCTGCCTGAGAAGCATTTTTCGGTGTTCATGTCCTACAGATTTGATCCCTTCTACATTCTGGAACAAGTCTGCCAACAGCTGCATCATAAAACATTTCTCTGAAAGTGTTCCAGTGACAGTGTAAGAGATTGAGCATATTTAATTTTTTCTTCAGCATGGGAAAGACCTTAAAGCATGACCCATTTTGTATACCTATATGACCATTCTGAGATGGTCATATAACTATATGATCATTCTGAGATGGTTAGACAACCTGTCTGGTGATATCAACAACACACAGCACATCTGGGTGAGTACAACTGGTCAACAGGTGAATTCAGGTCAAGAATTTAAGAATGAAACTATCCATGCCCCATTTTCCCATTTTTAAAGATAACTAGAATAGCAAAAATATTCAGAAACATTTTTAAGTGATGCTTAATCATAAAATTTAAAAAAAAAATTTTACCACACTAAATGTCTATCATTCTGGCTTATGTATACCTATAGTATGCACAATATATACTGTAACAGACATTATTTTTTGACATACACTTATCTAATATGCAGTAATGTCAATCACTTAACCTTGGATACAACTTCACTCATGAAATGGAAAGCAATTATTCTTTGCTGTAAATGAGTAGGAGTAGTCCATTACCATAAAGTTTCAAACAGATTCATGAATTCACACTTAACAACAAAGTTAGGAAGACAAAAATACTTATACTACCAAAGCTGATCTTTTTGGTAATTACAGAGCCTGCTGAACATCTGAGAAAAAAAGACCAAAGTGATACCTCTTTTGTCAAAAACTAAAAATGCGGAAGTCTGGAAACAATGAGGTATTCCCATTTAAAAACTGCAATAATAAAAATAAATCGTATTTTAAAAATTAATGTGACATTTACAAAGTATATTCATGCTTCATTTTTCTTCCTCTTTAGTTCACTTTGTCCAGCTCAGACTGTCCCAATTTTCTTCCTGTGCTGCCACACTAAAATATATTAATATGTTGAATTATGTAGGTTTCCCCTGACAAATCTCAACCATTAGAGCTACATCCACATGCTCCACCAACCTACCTCGTAAGAATTTCAAGAACTTTCATCTATTTTTAGTTTTATAAAAAGCCTATCCAGATGAGATGTCATGGCACATGTGTGTGTCTGTGTGTATTTTGTGTGCACAAGTCAGCCAGAACCATGTAACAGTGTGCAACCAGAGAGACAGAAGACATGCAAATGAACTTACACAGTAGTCCAAGTAACCCTAAATGTCTTAGATATCCAGACACTGAATTATCCTCTCAAAATAATCTCACCGCTGAGCAATGAGATAATGAGGGGATCTGTCACCACACTAACAATCAGTGACAGTTTTGGCAAATGAACACTAAAGCAGAATGTTGTGACACTACCACTACAGTGATAATGGAAGACACAGAGTGGAAATAGGCACTGATCAAGGAACTGTGGGTTGGAATCCCTGTGACCTTAGAATCTTTCTAGAGGGCATTTGCATTGGCAGTGGAGTGTTGCTGGTTCTTGTGAAACCTTCAGACCATCTTTTCTATTATACTCCTCCACAATGTTTGGCTTTTTAGTGGTAATCTTTCAGCAAGCAAATTGTCTTTCCATGTTTGCAAGACACGGCTTTACTGGCGCTTTCTTTCTGGACAAACTCAAAACATTTTAAATATTCTTTTGGGCCATTTGCTCTCAACATAGATCTGGATGAAAGCCCTCAACAGTAACCATGCCACTACCTTAACATTGAACTGCCGTGAAATTTCTTCAACCAGGTTAATTTAATTTCAGCCTTTGACAAAGCCTTTGGATATGAGCAAAATGCAAACTAATTTTCTGCAAATGTAACACACACACACACAAACATACATTTTACATTTCCTATTACTCTCCCACTAGCCAGTTTTGAAACTTTTTTTTCACTTTTAATAAAAAATACACAGCTGGTATCTCTAGCCCTTTCCAAATGATCTTACATGCCATTTATAAAGGCTTCTGAACCATATGGTCAGGTAGCAGCAGCACAGCAATAACCCCACCACCAGCACCAAACTCTGTGTTAGCTACTTTCTCTTCACTGGGAGAAATCACCTGACATCTACAAGTTAAAGGAATCCTTAATCTATTGGAGATACATACTTTTAAGTGTCCAAATTAATAGCATTATATGTATTTAATTTAAATACATTTGGTTATTGCTTACACTAGACGTTTCTTCAAACCCTCTAGTGCTTATCGTCTAGAGACTTCTGAGGAGGTCACTGAATCATGGGTGTGTGATATTGAATTAGTTCACTGAATGGTTTAGCATAGTTCTGTGTGGATAATTAGCATAGTTCTGGGTGTGAATGCTGGGCTTAGTGGAGAGAGAAGATGCACCTGGGTTTGGGTGGCACCAACCGAGAGGCTTATAGCCTGAATGAAATAAAAACTGAAAGGAGGAAGAAGTCTTGCTGCTTCTTACCTGCCATTCCATGCAGTGTATGTCCGCTCTCAGGTTCCTCTGCCATGACTTCTTGCTTTGGGGCCAGATGACTGTGGACTCAAACTTCTACAAAATGTGAGCTAAAAGACACCTTACCTCCTTTAACTTGTGGGTGTTGAGTATTTTGTCCCAGCAATAAATAGGTAACTAAGACACACTTACACTTGAACTGCAAGTTTTAATTAAGTTTAAAATGGTGGATTGATTGAACATGCAGCTAGTTCAACTTGCTCCTGAAATATTATTTGAATTAAAGGATAAAATAAATGTTACACATGAGACCTGGAGCCCAAAAGGACATAGTTTTTGATGTGTGAAAACTGTAAGGTAAATACTGTTAACTCACATGGCAAAATATTAGGACACTCAGAGGCACAGAGCACTTTGGCATAAAATGTGAAGCAGAGGCCATGAAAAACCATAGGAAATGAATGTAGAGCCATTGTACACCTGTCCTCCATCTCTGCAGGTGCTATGCAGATATTATATTCTATAGACATTAAACCTTAGAGATATCAAGTACATCATGGCTGAGACCTAGACATTAGTGGAGGAAACACTGTATGATGAACAGTTTCTGGAAAGCAGGCAGCTTTGATTGTATTCCTCAGGTAGAGGGTGAGGAGGTTTTCTCTGATATCAGGCTGTCCAAGAGATTTGGCCCCTAGTCGTTGCCCAAAGCCCTGTGAAGGAAAACCTGATTTCACTGCCAAATTCTCACAGTGGTGCCCAGTAGTTAAATGAAAGTTTTGCTCACATACAATATTTCACTCCAGGGAATGCCAGGGTCACCGATGTATTTCAGGGAATTCTCTGACAAGAGAGATCATTGTAACAGGAACAAAGGAATTTGTGGTAGTGCTAGAAATTCAGGAGCAAATTAGAAGTTTAAAAGTATTTCAATACCAGGTTGAAAAAGTTCAATTCAAGGAATAACTAATATTTAATCAGAGCCAAAGGAAAAAGTAGAAAATGGAAAGAGGATGGAAATTTGACATTAGTGAAGAAGTACGAGTCTGAAAAACACAATATTTGAATAAACAAAGTATAAGAAAAACTAGAGAAAATATCAAGGACTTTAAAAGAAGAGGGAGTTTTCAGACTTTAAAGACCACTCCAATGAGATGAAAAAGTCAATAACAAAGCCTTGTGTTCTTTCAGCATCCCTAAGATAGAGAAGCCTTTAAAAGCTTCCAGAGAAGGAGGAGTGGCTATAGCTGGTTATTTATGAGGTATATAATATGGGGACAACGGAGCTAAGAGCAACGCTAGAAATGAGAAGAGCTTTGTGAAACCTGGCATCAACCTGCAAATCTAGGTTTTATTAGCAACTATATTTTCCTTTACAGGCTGACTTCTTAAAATTACCCACATGCCCTTTCACAGGAGAAAGTTTTCCAGTAGAACAGGGGAGCACAAGACAGAGGAAACAAAAGCATCTCGGACAGTGAGGACACACGCACAGAGCCCTGTGGAAGACAGACTTCAAGGAGCTGTTCCAGGGAAACTGAAGCAGCAGGCCTAAGGACAAGCCTGTCCCTCTAAGGTAGGAAAGCCTGTGAGGGCGGCCTCTGGGAGAAAACGGAAGCAAGGCTGTGTTAGAATGTGAACAATGTCCTGGCAGGCATGTGACTAATGTTACAGCATTGCGGGATTGTTGTTAAGAGAACTGTCCCATTAAGAATGGAAAATTGACCTCCCTCCAAGAGGAAGAACGTGAAAACAGAAAGAGCCCTGGGTTACTTATCTGACTTGCTTTTGTGAACTAATGCTCCTTAGGGATCATCCAGCAGCAGTGCAGAGCTGTGTACATTTCAGAAATACTTTAGACAAAGAATTAAATTGTACAAAGAGGCAGAACAGTGTGACTGTTATTACATAACCTAGCAGTAAACAGTAGTCATAAATGATAATTAGTTATTTAGTTTAAAATATATGATCTAAATAAATGTAAAACATAAAAATAAAACTGTATGATGCATCTGAAGGAAATTGGGGAGAATAAAGTCAAGGCAGAAAGAGGAAGCTAAGCATTCACCTGTTATGATGGAAAAACAACGGACAGTGCTAAAGACTGATGTGTTAAATAGTTTATTTTGATTTTTAAAAAGATTAACAATTAAAGCCAAATATTTCATACAAACCTTTAACACTGTGCCCATATTACCACAATGGAACTTAAATATCAGAAACCCTTAAAAATGGAAATTACTAACTCAAAGTTTTTGTGAAGTAAATTTAAAACATCTCAGGAAAATACAAGATACCTTAAAAATGCAGAAAAGGAAGTCTATGGTAACAGACTGGCTCCTCATTGTATTTGTTTAGAAATCATGGCAGAAACAATTAGATTTACGCAATTTCTTATCAACGATTTACTTACATGCTTGAGATGGGTGTTGTTCCTCTGGTCATGCACTAAGAATAAGAAAAACAAATAAACCTAGTTAAACTATTGTAATACAAATGCCTTAGAAAAGTACATTGAACTGGCTACAAAATACCTGATGGATTATAAATATACAGAATATACAAAATGAATATTTTACTTTTAAAAGTAAATCATCTAATGCTGGGGATATAGCTCAGTGGCACAGTGCCTGCCTGGCAAGCACAAGGTAGTGAGTCAGAACTGGGTACCAAAATGAGGCAATTATCTGCCAAGACAAGTTTGATAAAGAACCAAATATTTATTTATACCTTCTGTTTACCCTAAGAAATGACAGACTGTCCTTACATGAAAGAAAATTGTAAAACTAGATCCTAGATGAACGTTAGCTAATAGAAAAAAGTTAACTTATTTCATGTCTCTCCTTTTACCAGACTTTCCTGAGTAAATACAATACACAGTACTTTGTAATTGTATATTGCTTTACAGCTTAATTACAAATATCTAATAGCAGACGGCTCTATGAACAAGTTTCTGGTTAGGCACTCACTATTCTCTTTCTGCTCTAGAATTCATAACCTACTAAGTTAATGCAGACGTTACTAAAAATATTAGTGATTCTTTAGACAACTGTAAATTAATCCACCTGAAATATCGACCTTGAAATGAATGTGCTAACCTAACTGAACACCCTCTCAATAGCACACAATTCATTCTGGCCTAATGAAATACATAAAGCAAACACTCCAGAGTTACATGGGCCACCGCAGCATTTCCCATACTGTTTCCTCTAAAGCTGGACACCTGCATATTCCTTTCCCCTGAAGAGAGGAGTGCAGATCTGTTTGTATTTTATCCCACACTCTACATGTGAGAGGCACATATATCTCCTGAAGAAATGGAAAAACATAGCAATGCTAACCAGAAATGACCAGCTCAAAAAGAAAATTGTACAGAAGTGGAAATATAGAAAAGAATCCCCATTTTTCATTGTGCTGCATTTTTCCAAGTATTACAGGGGTTTCGTTCCTTAAATTCTTACTCTTGTAATCAACTGGAAAATTTTTTCATATATCAGACCTTTAACAACACAATAAAATGACAGCAACAACAACGACAAAGGCAATTTATCCAAACATGAAGAAGAGAAGTTAGGTTTCACAAAGTCCGGCAAATCTGATCCTCACTCTGGAGTAAGCAGGACACAATGATTTACAGTAGTTGCACACATTGCCTTGTCCCTTAGGAAATGTCAGAGTATGTTTACACAGATTCTCTTCATAGGATCAAAACATTTTTGCTAACTCAAAATTTCTGAGAATACCATAAATCCTAAATCTGGTGTGAGGTAGGCTCACTGGATTATAGCACTGTAACAGTGAGATCGAAGGGATGACTCAGTATGACTCGTTGGCTATATCCACATATATACCTATCTGCATATCTGGATCTATGATTTTTAAAATATGATGACAAGATAATCTAAGTGTAATCTAAGTTTTATTATTTCTCCTTAAAACATTTCCTGGGAGCAAGGGGAAAGAACAAAATAATACAGAAAAATAAGTTTAAATCCATGACCCCTTCCTTAATCATGTGGTCTGCTGTAGTGATACAGAGGCAGCAAAATGTTTTAACAGAGAGTAGACAAGCTCTCCAGTTTAGAGTGACATTAAAAGAAAGTGTATAATCAGATATTAAAAGTAAAATGCACATTTAAAAAATTGAAAAACTGAATCCAATACGTAAGTTCTTGTAAATATTTGTATAATGTATGAACCATGTAAAATGACAATAGTTTTCAGCCTGATCATTGATGGGGAAACGTAGTCTTACCATATGTTTGAGATTTGCTCAGGAAAATTGTGCTGATTTTTGGATCATCAGAAGGGTTTAATTTTGAAGCTCCTTCTACAGAGAAAAAGAAAAAAATGTCATGACTTCATTCCATAGAAATGTAGATAGTTTTGAAAACAGCTTCCCAATACCTTTAAATCATGTTAACAGCATTGTAAAATGTTTTTAGTTATGAATGTGAATGAAATAAAATGAAGGGAACAATATAAGGATTCTCCCAGAGAACTGTAAAGCTGTAGAATCCCTTTTCAAATACAGAATCAAACAGGCTGTATCTTAGACTTATTATTCTAAAATTTTACCTAAATAATGTAATGTAGCTTTTCCATGAACCAAGTGCACTTTAAGATGAATATATGGCCTACGATGGCCTTCTCTGCTGGTATTACTGGCACATTTCAGGAACGCTTTTGAGTAACAAACACTTGCTCTCACATCCTGGATGCACTGTTAGATACCAGTTCAATGTGACAAATATTTAAATACATCAAACATTCTTTAGACCATGAATCACATGGCTATTTCTAGCTGCATTCAACAAAACAACTAATTTTGATAGCTGTGCTTTTAGGAGACTATAAATGATGGAAGATCTAGGATTAAAATCCAATGTGCTAATCTGTAATCACCTTCCTGAGAAAAACTGTTTTTTAAGAAACTTGTCCATGTACATAGATTTTTTATTCTTCTTTCTGCCCAGATGTCCACCTTAGAACTAGATTGGGAAAGTCTTCTCTTTACAAGATACTAGAAAACAGAGTCTTCAACTTCAATAATACATAATTTGCTATTATAAGAAATAATAAACTTCATTATGGGGTATGCTGTGACTGTCCTCAAAAATCTCAGGCTACTTAAACAGTTTTGTAACAAACTGTACCAATATTCAAATAAACTAGTGGTTAAGCAATATTTCCTTAAGCACACATTATTAATTATTCTACTTTAGAGTGTTTAGTGGTCCAGTCACACTCTTCTCTATATCCTTGGCCTTGCAAAATTCAAAATGGGCACTGATATATTAAAAAAATAATCAGTCTATTAGTGACTACTGTCTAACTCAGCACTTCACAAATTTACCTTCTTTTGAATACTACTTTTACCCCTTCTGAGTACTATGGTTAGAATTTTGGATATAAATATAATATTGGTATTTCAGATTTAACAATAATTTGAATAATTGATTTTAAAGGTACAATGACATCACTAGCAACTTACTAAAACCTTTCTTTATTCTTCATGGTAATTCCTCAATCAAGTTTAGTAAAATAATTCTTATATAAGAACTTCTAAAGAATACATGAATTTTTGCATGTCATTTAGAAGATGTGACAATCTTAGTTATGTGGAAAAATAAAATCACTTTATGCACAAGGTGACAGGTACAGACTTACATGGCCATCTGTATTCTAAAGCTTCTGAGAACTTTAGGACCACGTCCTACTAAAAACCAATAGGTGCACATTTGAATTTCTAAATATAATTCGTAGAAATTTTTACTATTAAAAATAAGTAATAGAAAGAGCTATATTAGGTATTGGCATCTTTGTAATGACTGGTTTTGAATGTAGTCCAGAAAAACTAAGTATCAAAATCAGATGAATCATTTTAAACCCCCCCCCACACACACTCTGTCTCTCTCTATCTGTCTTTCTCTATTTCTCTGCCTCTGTCTTTGTCTCCAAGACTATGTATCTGAAGACAAAATTCAAGAAGTTTGGTATTTAAAATAAAGAGAATGTGCAAAAATAAAAGAAACCAGCCCAAGGGAAAGGCTTGCACCCTCTCTAGAGCAATAGAATAGGCATATGATGCAGGGTTGGTCAGTGCATCACAACTCTCTTGAGTCCTCCCAACAATCAGAGGAGAAAGACACTAGGACTATTATCTAGCTAACTGGCAGCTGCTAGTGGTGACCTCTGCCATCAGGAATAGTAAATGTTTGGCAGAAGAGATGGACAGAGGGAAGGAGAACTGACATGGGCTTTTGAGAAGGGTTACTTCCTGGGTCTAGTTGTACATGATCAACCTGTATGAACTACCTGGTTATGCAAGTCTATTTTTGGAATAGATTTTCTTTAATTTGTAATTTTTAAGGGTGCTTGTTAATCAGCTCTATTGATGATCACACTCAAGGTGGGGACCTACAAGAGTCATTGACTCATTTAACAGATATTATGAACAGCAATTTGTAAATGCCAAACTACTGTGTTTAAAAATTATCAACATACCCCCATTTGTTTTAGTTGCTTTGATTATGCATGTTTTACAAATAGCTCTTGGGCTCAGAAACATAACTC